GCTGCTTCAGGTGTTCCAGAACAATCAGACAGAGAGGTGTCATCCGGTCGTGTGGGCACAGTGCTCTGTTCATGACTGGGGAGCCCAGGGCCAAGGGAGGCTTCTGCTAAAGTAAAATCTGTGGAAGTGGCACTTAGACAATAGCGTTACTGCTAGTGGGGACCAAAAGTATTTTTGAAAAATTCAGATGTGTTTGCTCACAATTATTCATGTGTTAAACAAGAAGTAAGAGAGAGGAAAATAAGGAAGAAAAATAGATGTCAAGCAAAGTTTGAATAGCAGTCACACTGATTTTCTAATACTTCAGAATCTTCTCATTTCACTTATATACTTTCGTATTTTTAAATAAATTTCCTTTATGAACCAAAAGTATATCACTGACATTACTCTGGGTAGGAATTAAGAAAAATCATTACTATTTATTGAATGGAAATATTTTTATTCACAGAGGAAAGAATCAGATCTGTCAAAATCCTAACTCCTAAATGTCATTTAAGAATTAAAGATTCAGAAGCATTTTGATGCTTATGATTTTCCCTGGTACTTGTGACTATGAAGCATAAAATTAGGCAGTTACCTTTTCTAATTTTCATACCAATCAAATTATCCCATTTTTGATTCAACATTATTAGTCTGTCATATTCACTTACATTTAACTTTAAGTCTAAAGAAATTTTATTGTACTCTTATAAAAGCTATAAATACTTATTATTAAAAATATTAGGACTTAGCATCATATTGAATTAATTCATTTCTTCTGCTTACACTAAGGTTTAGTCCTAAAGTGTATCTTCCCTCTTTGCAAGAGGTAGAAATGGCAACCAGACATTCTATAGGAAAAATATGAGGCTTGTAGGGAAGCATTCATGGTGCTACCACAGAATGGAACACTGTTGGATTCAAGTGTATAATGTTAGGACAAACTGAAATTTTGTATTGAGTTTACACCCTAACCACAAGGAGTAACATTTTTCATTTCATAATATAAAATCTGGGAAATGGAGTCAAAGACAATTACATTCATCCATCCACAGTCATGAAAATTATTTTTCAATAACTGAATGATATGATGTAAAGGTGTCATACCTGGACTGGATAGTTCCTCGGGAGAGTTTGCTTCTGAAATACTGTCTGTAGGAAAAACAGGAGATGTAGGAGGTAAAGTATTTACAGTACCATTACAACTTAAGTAATTTATTAACAAGTCATGTTCATAAATGTGACAATTCATTAATACTTTAACATAGTTATTTTTAAATTCATAAAGACATAGCCCTAACTTTGTTAGAAGCAATTTTTTTTGTTAGAAGCAATTTTAATGTCTGACACTGTACTGATACAACTAAAGTCTACAAAGATTGTCATGTTATACATGTTATACATTGTCAATCCTGAAATGGATTCTATCTTCTTGAATAGATCACACATTACAAAAGGTTCATTTTTGGATAATGGGGCTCACAGGGTCTTTATTTTATTTTCAGGTATAAGAAAGGCAGTTGAGATGAAGCCAGTACTAAGTGCTATTTTTAAAACTAATTAAAAGCCCACATTTAAGACATCATTACTTAATAAAAAGACATGACTTATAACCTGTATCATTTTACCATCTATATTAAATAAAATGCAATGTAACATTAATGGCAAAAGCAACATTACCAGTCACATGACCGGACTCCTCGTCTGGTTGCAGGGGCATTTTGGAGGGTGGAGAAGGTGCTTTTCGCTTAGTTCTTTTCAAAGATGAATTGCCAGTGGGAGTGCTGCTGAGTTGCAGTGATGCTGTCCGCACTCTGCCTGCTCCACAGAGGTGCTATGAAAAGCAAATGACCACACACAGTCATTATTTAAAGGAGTAAACTTTAGGAAGATACTGACCTCCACATCAAATGTATTATTATGCCAATATAGAATGTCATTCATCCATTCAGAAACATTTATGTAGTTTCTGTGGGAGCTAGGTTGTAGGATGCAAAAAAAAAAAGCAAAGAAAAATACCATGGGATCCTTCTCAAGAAATTTAGTTTAGGATGGGAGACTGACATGTGAACAACTAATTAAAATGTAGGAAACTCAAAAGCAACACAGTAAAAACTGACTGCGACAATTAAATGGTTATAGGTGCAAATCCTATCTACATGTAGCCATTTAAATGTCAATTAACTTGAACTTAAATACATTTTAAAATTTAATTTTTTGTCAGACCAGACACTTTTCAAGTCTTCAAAGCCAGCATGGCCACCAGACTGGACAGCACAGATATAGCCTATGTCCTTCATCACAGAAAGTTTTATTAGGTGGCAATGTCTTAGAGATGTATTTGGATGACATGATAAATATAGGGTGAGAAAGAGTTAGAAGGCCGGGAGGGAACATCTGTACTACCATACTCTCAAAGTCAGCTCTGGAATTTATAGTTACTACACCGGATCCCCTGTATTATAGAAAGAAGTGGTTTAAGTCAGAAAGCAAAATGCACGTTTTCTTGAGAGGCGTTACAGGTCCTGTACCACCGGATGGCTCTCTAAGGCTCAGTCAATAAAATCCCTGGCCACAGAACCAAGAACTGGAGCATTTTTCCTATTTCACCATAGGCTGTTGTTTGACTTTGGCTCCCTAAAGAAGCGGTGACTCTGTTGGCATCTTTGAAATCCATGGGAAATTGAATGACTCATAGTAACCACATTCTCTCAGAAGTCACTGGCAGCAGGGTTAGTGGGGAGACATCTCCTTTACTGGGTTATAAACAGAGAGCATCAAAAAAAAAGGACAGAACAGAAGAAAATGTGAGCACAAAAGAGTCCTCTTTAAGATTCCAGGAAGAAATGGTGACGCTTTTTAAAGGGATTGAGGTTCAACAAGCCCTAGAGCCTATGAAATGGGTTAGAAAATATTTGTACATCAATACAGTTGACTCGGTTAATCTACCTTTAGCACTAATGTATCAATGGCAAACATTTCAAAAATCTGTCTACCCAAGGTCTTTAACTCTATGTGCTGCTAATGCTCACATTTATAGCATGTGACTTTCACTGCTAAGATCATCTTTCCTCAGTAAACTGGTAGCTTACTGCTTCCCAGCCCCTTACCAGGTCATCTCTTTCTTTCCCTTTATAACAAATACATTTAGAAGATTTATTCCATAATTTTTGTCTCCAATTTCTTGTCTCCCACTTGACCTCTTCCAATCAGATTTTTCCAAACATTTGAAAAATGAAAATAAAAAATATATCTTTCTCCATTTTTAAACAAAAGGATTTGATAATCCTGGACTAGGAGTACAGAAATCTTGGGCCCTTCCCATCTTAGGAGACAATGTAAGAACACCTAGGGGAAGTGAACTAGCTCACAATTTTTTTTTCAGCCTTTAAAGTTGGCTACACACCAAGATAAATTTAGCAAATTTTACTATTTTGTAATTTTGCCTTGTTTCTGCCAGAGAAGAAAGGAAGCCTGCCCCAAAGAGAAAAGTTTGAGTTAGTTGTCATCACTGCCAACTGTGTTAGGTACTAAAGAGGAAGGCAGGTCACCTCACAGCGACAGAAGCAGAGTTAATGCCACAGGGTGAAGCACTTGACTGACCACCCCCTTATTGAGATTACCACCTCTGGGCAAGAGTACGGGGCTGCTGGGCAAGAGTGTGCAGCAGATGGCCCTGGGTTGATCTTATAGGTAGACGAACCATTAATCTTCTTCCATAGCCATTGGTAAGTAACTGTAGCCACTAACCACTGCCCCAGAATCTTCAGATCTCCCAAACCACCCAAAGAACTGAAGCCTGCTACCTACACCCAGATTTTTCAGTCAGTAAAATCAATTCAATTAAATATAATGTTAAGAACCCCCCCTGGATGGGCTGGAGGGTAGAGATGGTGGGCTGGATCCTCATTAAATTGCTATTTGGGTCATTAACAGAAGGGCCTTGAGAGAAAAAAAAAAAAAACTGAGACACAAATGCAGTAATAGATTACTATGTAAATATGTATCAATTTGTATAGGATATAAAGTCTATATAAAGATCTTACTGGTAAATCTCTGAATTTGGAAACTTTAATTTGCTCTTATAAAAATAACAAATTGAAAGAGAATTCTCTTAAAAACAAAGCTACTTCACTTTTAAAACTGATCTAAAACATCAAAAGTAGACGATGTCACTAAATTTCTAGATGAGTTTGCCTCTGTAAAACCTATTAAAACATCCCTTATTCCTATACTGGGACTAGTTTTATTAGTAAGAATGCAGTAGTAACTGCTGAGTGGATGAAGTCGTGACAGCATTTGATTTCCCTCCGTGTTCCATGCATGCTAGTTTGTTTCCCATGTTTTTACTGATTGTTTTCACGAGGCCTATGGTAAAATACCACTGTCCCCTTTCGGTCAGATTCCCAGCACAGTCATGGATTGATTTCTTCTGTTACATGATAACAGCAATCATCAAGAATTTCCCAGACAACTGAATCTGTTTAGTAGCTTCAAGTCTTAAATTCTGGTTATAATACAGTAGACAGCACAGAAATTAAAAGGGATTTTATATACAGACTCATACATTTTTATGATTCCATCCATAACTCAAAAACAGTATAAAATTTAGACTCCTATGTTTTATTACCCGAAGGTCTCAAAGTATGTTAATAATTTTTGGTAAAGGTATTTATATTGCGATGGATAAATAATTTAAAATTCTCAAAATGCATAGATTTCAGTTTTATAAACACTACAAAATTTTCAGTAGCAATCAAAAAGGGTTGAAAGCAAAATCACGATGATTTGAATTAATGAAGAGCAAAGCTATGGATGGTAAGAAGCAGCTGAACAAAGAAAATTAAGGTACTAAAAATCAAGCTTGGAGCTTATTTTATTTTTTGACTTTTTAAAAAGATTATTTGTTTACATATATAAGAACAGGGATACAGGCCAGAGGTGCAGGGGTAGTGAGAGGGTACACCAGAGACAGAGGGGGACGGAACAGGAGGATCCACTGGAATAAACTGCTAAGAGGAGCAGCAGGTAAGAAAGGAGAGGTCTGCTGCACCACGTGGGTCAGCTCCCTGGCTGAGGATAGAACTCTGGCTGCAGGGGCTGGCAATAGCTTGCTAGTGCTGGGACTTAATCCCCTGCACCACTAGGAAGATCCACTATCTTATTTTAACTAAAATATCACTGTTGAGACTAAAGTGGAGGAACCCTTGTGTCTTAAGGAAGTGATGTTCTAAATCTATTGAAAACATTCTTCTCTTAGGTAAAAGCCTGAAAGAAAAATAGGGTCATTTAAGTTGGAAAATCTCACTGTTTCTAAATAGTCCACAGCCAAGAAAATTGGTGTGTCCTTGTGTCCTGTGGTCTGTGTAAACTCTATACACACATACCCCCCCACACATACATACACAATCTACTACATAAGTTCAGAAAAGCTTCTAACCCAAAAGTGATAATGCTAGAAAGCAGACTTACTAAACTATAAGAATAAGGCAAACACACATGGGTTCCCATATAAAAATTAAAATGAGAAAATGCCACTAATGCCTTACCAGCAATATTCTTAAATACTCTTTCTTGCTATGCACTTTAGGAATAGGTTCCTAATAGTCTCCCAGTAGTTTTAGTAGGGTTTCTTGCATTAGTCAGGATTGAGCTCCTTAGTATTTTTATATGAATGTCTAATTGGGGAGAAGTTAACAGAGGGTTTTGCAAGTTGGAAAGCAGTCCACTGTTATGGTTAGCAAACATAAATTTTGGAGATGATGTTAAAGCTTCAACTAGGAAACATGGCATTTATTCTCTCTGCAAACTCCAGCTCCTTATCTACAAAGTAGGAAAAGAAACAGGAACGATCTTAAAGGGCGGTGGATGTTTCAGTGAAATGAAGTGTCAGATACTTAACACAGTGCCCACTATATAGTACATGTAATATTATCACATGTATTCTATTTGCAGTATGTAAAAGCACTCTAAATTAAATAAGCAAATATTATACTGTAGAGGTTGGTAAAATATATGATTAAACATTTTTTTTTTCGTTTTTAAGATTTCTTTTTATTTATTTATGCATACAAGAACTGGGGTGTAGGTCAGAAGTGTAGGGTAGGGGTCGGGAGAAGATTCTCCAGACACACAGTGGGGAGCAGAACAGGAATATGTGTTGAAATACACTGCTAAGGGGAGCAGCGGGCAAGGCAGGAGAGGTTGCTGTGCCATGTGGGTTACCTCCTTGTGGATTGAACCCATGCCACAGTGGCTGAGGATAGCTTGATAGCACTTGCACTTTAACTCCTGTACCACCAATGAGGCCCAAAGAGATTTTTTTTTCCCTAAGAATATATTTCTCTTTAGTGATGGTGGTGGTAGGAATCCTAATGGCATCTGTGTCAGTTATAGTTAACCTTAAAATCCCAATAGCACCCAACACTCAACAACTTGTGCTGAGCAGTTTGACATCAGCAAACTTCACTGCCTATAAAATCTTCACTAAGAAGTCACCTTAGTGACTTCAAAGAATTTAATCAAGGCTAACTAACACCGGCTTGTTAAATATTGTGATGGGACATGAATTTCATACAGTTAACGTGCAGAATTAAAATGAAGGCATTGCTTAGAACTGTGTTTAGCTTTCAGCATCAAGGTATATCTCCTTTGGTTATGACTGAATTTTTTTTAAAAGGAGTTGAGAAAAACTTATTTTAAAATCCTAATGGCTTACAAAACAAGAACAAGAGGTTTTTTTACTGATGAGGGAGAAAACACTGGTTAATGATTAGAGATATTCAATTATTTACTTTAGTTAACGTCACTAAGTCTGCCAGCTATTAGTGAAAA